TCCGCCTGCAGGGGCAGCAGAGAGCCCAAAGTACAGCTGTTTGGGGCACCTGGGCTCTCAGATCAGGACTGAGCAGGTGCAGAAAGAGGAGAGAGACTAGGGATGAATCAGAAGGGGCCTGCAAGCCCTCCCCCACCACCCTAACCGAATGCCACCCCTTCCAGCCTGGGCGCCTGCCCCTACCATCGGCCTTGGAGACCCCGGGCCAAGCCTGAGGAGTGGACTTCAAAGCAGGAAATCTCATTAAGGGCAGTAGAAGGAAGAGCCCGAGACAGCCAGGGTCGAGGCAGGATCGTGGATTGGCAATTGGGTTAAATCACTTCCTCTTCTAAGTGTCTGCACAATGAAAACCCCATTTACTGTTATTGTCCCACTTTCCAATGCTAAGACATTTGGTGGACACTTAGAAAGTGAGCCTATTTATGCTCCACAGCCAGGAGGGTTCTCTTTCCCAGAGTCTTCCTGGAGCCTGTGCGGGGACAAAGCTATCATGCTGCTATGGAGGCAGGAGAACCATGTGGGCTCCAGGCTGGGCACCAGAGAAACACTCCCTTGGTTTGAGCTTCAGGTTTCCTGTTCTCCAGAGCCTTGTCCTCGGCACATTTCCTAACACTCCCACCTCCCTGTCATCTGCCCCCTCTAAACTAGGAGCAAGAAGTTCCCTCCAAGGGTCCGTGAACACGAAATCTGGGGCCTTGGCCCTCGGGCTTGCTGAGGAAGTGCTGGCTGTGGGGCTGCGGGGAGGGCCGCCCTGCCTCAACCCGGAGCTTATCCCTGGAAACTGGCGGCTGAGGGGATGGGATTCAGGATTTGCACACACGTTTGTTCATCTCCACTTTGCTTTGGTCTAGGTAGTCTACAGGACAGAGAGGACCTGAGTCTCTCGGGTAGCTCCCTGTTATGTCTCCAGGGCAACGTACATGATGGGACTATCCCTTGTGAAGTCGAGGGAGAAATCTAACCAGGGCCTTGGCTTCGTGCCCCAGAGCCATGGCCCTTGATGGAAATATAAATAACAGAAACCCTTATCCTTGACCTGCAGGCCAGGCCAGGATGGAGATTCCCATGGCCACAGAGGACTACAGCCTGACCACTGAGTACGATTATGGGGCCCTCACTCTATGCCACAGTGTGGTGGTGAGGGCCTTCACGTCCCAGGCCCTGCCGCCCTTGTACTCCCTGGTGTTCCTCATCGGTGTGGTGGGCAACGTCCTGGTGGTCCTGGTCCTCATGAAGTACAAGCGGCTCCAAAGCATGACCACCATCTACCTGCTCAACCTGGCCCTCTCGGACCTGCTCTCCCTCTTCACGCTGCCCTTCCGGATCAACTACCAGGTCAAAGAGAGCTGGATCTTTGGCAATGGCATGTGCAAGCTCCTGTCCGGCCTCTACTATGTGGGCTTGTACAGCGAGATCTTCTTCATTGTCCTGCTGACCATCGACAGGTACCTGGCCATTGTCCACACTGTGTTTGCACTCCGAGCGCGGACTGTCACCTTAGGCATCATCACCAGCGTTGTCACCTGGGCCCTGGCCTTCTTGGCTTCTGTCCCAGAATTGTACTTTTCTAAGACCCAGTGGGTGATTACTCAATATAGCTGTGACCTGTATTATCCCTATGACAGCCACGAGGCCTGGCGGTACTTTCAGGCTCTGAAGCTGAACCTGCTGGGGTTCATCTTGCCGCTGCTGGTCATGGTGTTCTGCTACGCGAGCATCCTCAACGTTCTGCTCCACCGGCCCAACCAGGAGAAGGCCAAAGCCGTCCGCCTGATCTTCATCATCATGATCATCTTCTTCCTCTTCTGGACCCCACACAACCTGGCTGTGTTCGTTTCCGCTTTCCAGGAGCACATGTTCACCAAGTCCTGCGAGCAGTACCAACAGTTGACCCTGGCCCTGCGCATTACAGAGGTGATTGCCAACACCCACTGCTGTATCAACCCAGTCATCTACGTCTTTGTGGGCCACAGGTTCCGGAAGGACCTGCGGCAGTTGTTTCAGAGACAGGTGGCTGTATGCTTGGGCACGTGTCAGCCCTTCTTCTCCCGGCCTCAGCTGGAGGGTGTCAGCTCTGTGTCTGTGTCCACTGGGGAACAGGTGCCGTCTGATATGCTCTGACTCAGACACCTGAAGGACTCTGGGTCACAGTGGCAGTGGCCGGCTGGTGGGCCATCGTGGCAAGGAGAAGAGGCTACGTGACCATCCCCACCAGATACCCGTAGACACACATAGCCTTGAGATGGAGGGTGCTCGACATTGGTCGCAATCAGTCACCAGGGTTTCAATCCTGCCATGACTCTCCTTGGTGGACAGGGACAAATGGGTGACATGGGACATTCCAGAGACTGAGACTGCAGACTCCAGGGAACAGCTTGGCTCCAAATAGGATGCCCAGTCTGCAAACATTGGCATTCACAAAACACTCAACAGCAACAGTCCTAAAGAACTTGGGAACAGTGATTTCCATGGTGGCAGTCCCTGAGTCCTAGAACCAGCGAGTCAACCATAGCTCCCTTCTCCACCTGCCTCACATTCTCAAAACTCAGAACACAGAACTGAGGATGGCCAACATGACACTGACAGGGACATGGGGTTAGGGATGAGCTGTTGGCAGTGAGAAAAGGCATAGGTGGCTGTGAGAGGCCTGCCTGGCAGGTGGGCAGGCCACACTATGTCCTGAACAGAAGAGGAGGGGTCCCGCAGGAGAAGTAGCCAGTGCCCCACTCTGTCCTGTAGCCTCAGCCCCTACCAAACACCCTGTTCATCGTTTGTCTCCCTTCTGTCAGATGTACAATTCTTTAAAAATCATGTTCCTACAAATAAAGATTATTTCTAGAAAGGTCCAAAGACACCAAGAAGGAAAGTAAGCGCCAAAGCCATCTGAAATCTCACTACCTGGACAACTGCTGTGCGCTGTGGGTGCGTTTCCATTTTGCTGTCCATTCCATGTGCATTTGGGTGGACACTGAGCTGGCCCTGGTGGTGCTGGCTGTTCCCCCCTTGAATTTTAATGAGCACTGTGCTAAGGGCGCTCTCCCCGGTGAATAAATCATTTTAAAATCATTGGTTTTGGTGTGATGGACTCTATGGTGGAAATGTTCCCGAATTTACTGTACCTGCGCCCCATTACTGCTGGGCAGTTGATCCCTAGACAAGTTTTCTACAACAGCAGGCTTGGGTACTCCATGCACAGTGAGTCTCGGAGCGGTGGGGACACCACTGCCCAGGGAGCACAGTCCCCAGCCCCATAACTGGACACATGCAGGGATCACAGAGTGGCCAGCAGGGCGGAGCCAGGACAGCAGCTCAGGCCAGCCGCTGTCCCCCACATGGGAGCTGCGCCCTTCCCCGGCCACGCTGCCCCTTGGTGGGACTGACCGTGTCCACACCTCCTCCTGTGCAAAGAAGCTGGTGTCATGGAGCAGGGAGGAGGAGGTCGCGCCACCCGACAGTTGTGTCTCCACAGAGAGAGGACAGCGCTGAGACGTGGTGCCAGCTCGCTTCCCGGGAGTACACGAGCACTCTCTGGAGAGTGGAAAGGAGGCCGCGCTGACCCAAGAAGCCTTGCCCACCGCTTGGTTAAATCACAATGAAAATCGATATCTGATCTGTAATGATTTCCTGTGCCCCAGTTTCCACTTTGCAGGATGTTTCTTTTTCTGGCTCAGGCTGCCATAAGGGCAGGTTTCCTAAAGCATGCGGACCTAGGTATTGAACCATGGTTCCCTGTACCTGACTGGATTCGCACAAGCAGACCAACAACTGAGCTAACCCACAGTCCCCACCCCCATTGCCCTTTGAATCAAGCCCTACTTGTCCCCCTTATTACAAAGGCAATTAGTGTCTGATGTGGAAACTTGAAGAAACCAGAGGACAGCGAGAAGCAAATGGTGGCCCCGGAAGTCCCAGTACCCAAGTCCAGCCTGAGCATGGGAGTGTTGCGGCACCTCTCCTTCCAGGGGTGATTTCTAAGTGCATACACACACACACACACACACACACACACACACACACTCTTCATTGTTCTCATTGTGGCCCCTCCCATCTGTTCTGCACAGCGAGCGAGCTCTCCTAGGTTCTGCCTGCAGGACGACTCCCAGCCTCCCGGGTGCTCGGCCAGGTGAGGATGAGCAGGTTAGCACCGCCCTCCTGCCGGGCTCTGAGGAGGAAATGAAACCGAGCAAAGGCCTCGGGCAGTCTTTCTCTGCCTTCCTCCAGCAGCCCTCAGCCTCCCCTGCCAACACCTTCAGCCTTGATGACCACCCTCCCTGCCACCGCCCTCTCCTCCCAGGCACCCAGCTCCTGGACCAGCAGCAGCCTCACTGCAAGGGCTGCTCCCACTGCGCTCCAGGCCTCGTGCTTGCAGATCAGCTGCCCCAGTAGTGCACAGAATATTCCCAGCTCTCACTGCTTTGCACCCACTTCAGCCCCGAGCCCAGTCCAGCCAAGGAAGACCTGGGACTCAAGTGTCACATGCAATACCTTGATATGGGTATTCTTTGGAATATAAGAAGGAAAACCCTTAAAATATTTACACCTGCTCCCATTCAGCACCAGTGTTGGGCATTAAGAAGGCGGCGAGAAGCACCGTGGCACACATCTGCCATCCCAGTATTCCAAGAGTAGGGGCAGGAAGGTCACAGTCCAAGTCCAGCCTGGGCACTTAATAAGACCCTGTCTCAAATGAAGCAGGTTCTGGGTTTGGTTTTCTGGAAAGACCGGGGTGTGTTCCTGTCTGAGAAGGAGCAGTCCATGCCAGTCAGTGCTCTTTTTTTTTTATGTATTTAATACAGGGTCTTCAGGGTCTACAGGGTTTCATTATGTAGATCGGACTCATAGTGATTCTCCTATTAGCAGGCTCCTAAGTGCTGGGATTATAGGTGTATGTCACCATGCCCAGTCTCAGGGGCCATCTCAGTGTGCCCTGGGGATGGGGCCAGCATGGCAGGCTGGGGATTGAACCCTGGCGTTGTGCTCTGCCTAAGCAGGCACTTTAGTTCACTGATCTATCTGGCCAGCCCATAGCCAGTGTTTTTTGTTTGTAGCCTATGCAAGGGAATGCACAGGCTACAAACAAAGCCTTCCCCGCCACCTCCTCCAGGAGGTGCAGCCACGTCTCTCTGGGTCTTCCAAGCCTTCATGCCTACAGCTGGAATGTGCTGGTGGGCTTTGCACTGTGAGAAGAAGAGCCGCTTTTGGAGTTGTCCTCAGAAGACTTCCATTCTCTGGAGAATCCCAGACAAGGGAGGCAGCCAGCGTGCTTCACCAGTTTCCAGAAGTTCTTGCGAAACTTGACTCCGACAAAGGCGTAGAACACGGGGTTAAGGCAGATGCGCAGGTAGGAGATGGCCTCGGTCACAACGATGGCGTAACTGAAGCTGGTCATGGTATAGTACTCCCATCTGGAGCTGCGGATCAGCTTGACCAGGCTGAATGGTGTCTGGGTCAGCAGGAACACAACCACCACCAGGATGATGATCTTCAGAGATTTGTGCTTCTGGAAGCCTCGGCTGAGCAGAAGGGCCCGGATGATGGCGGGGTAGCAGAACATCATGGTGAGCAGGGGCAGGAAGAAGCCCAGTGTTATCTGGGTGGCCAGGATCACCCTGAAGATCTCGTCATGGTGGTAGTCACAGATGAGCTTGTCATAGTGGCGGACATCACTGTAGATGATCTGCGGCAGGGACAGCGCCACGGAGACCACCCACGTGCCAGCTAAGATGGCCTTGCCCCAGGCCATACACGTGGACCCCTGGGTGTAGGCCTTGGTGGCCTGGACCACCACGAGGTACCGGTCCACCGTGATGCAGGTGAGCGTGAGCATGGACACGTAGAAGTTGATGGCATAGATGCCACGCAGGGTCTTGCACATCACGCCACCGAAGACCCACTGGTGGGCACCTGCGTAGGCCCAGAAGGGCAGCGTGCAGACGAACACCA